CTCCTATGTTTTCCAGGTCAAGTAAGGGTAGAGGCAGCCTGCATTTGACCTAAAATGTATTGTCCTAAATATCTGATTTACATGTTTGCATGTGCCACCCAAAGCAACTGCCTGAACAGTCTGTTGAAGTAAGTGCTGGACAGAAAAAAATCTGTTCTAAAACTTTGCCCAGAAACCACACAAACTGTGCAGCAATATTGCGGCATTTAATGGCTAGCACACATTTGGGATAATTCAGTGTTGTACTGTCCCAGAGAGGAACTGGGGAGGGCTTTAGGGGGGAAGCATTTGTTTAACTGCCAAACATAATCTGATCTGTTATTATTAGTCACATTCTCAGAGTCTGCTATAAATATATCAGCTCGTGAAGTGACACGTGAAATACAAACTGCTGAGTCTATGCAGGCGGAATGTCCCTCTGAAGGCTGTTGAGAGCATTCGCTTGCTGGGGCCTCTGGCTCAAAAAGGGTGGCATGTAATGGGCCAGTGAGGAAAATGGTTCACTGGCTCATCTCAATGGCAGCTTAAAAGGGTGGAAGGGAAAGGACCAGCCGAACTGATACGCCCTATAATTTACAATGGTTTTATGCTGCTTCTGGGAAGGGGTTATACCCTAACACTAACAATTTTTATCAAATGCAGTAATATAAAACTGTGCATGATATGAACATGGAAATAGAATCATAGAATGTTTTGGGTTGGAAGGAACCTTAAAGATCATCTAGTTCCAACTCCCCTGCCACAGGCAGGGACACTTTCCACTAGACCAGGTTGCTAAAAGCCCCGTCCAACCTGGAGAAAAAGAACCCCAAACCAAACAAAACCAACCAAACAAACGAGGCAGGGAATAATTACACTAACTAACTGAACACAGAAGCCAGGTTTTTCAGAAATTAAAATACCTTATGGATATTCGGTGAAGTGTATCCTTCATGACATACCATGGAGTCTCCTCCACTTGCTATTGGGAATTCTAAATTATCATGTCCCAGATCCTCCTCCTCTATATAAAGTCTGGTCAGTTCTTCTGTTGTATCTTGTGCTCCTCTGTAGACATCTGATTCTTGAGGCTCTGACTGATCCCCTATATTAACTGAGAGATCTGCAGTGCAGATTTCCTCTTCGTTTTCAGGAATTGCAGCTAGCACTGTGGAGATGGAGCCACATTTTTGTGGTGGAGGGATGTTACAGATAGTGCCAACGTGTTCACCTTCTCTTGTAGTGTCTGGTAAGTCTCTAGGTACTTCAATTACTGAAGAAGAGTCAAGTATACCTCTCAATTCCTTATCTTTTCCTGGTTTGGTATTGTTGCTGGTATATTTATATGCTATGTCATGAGGTGAGCTGGCTGAAGATGAGACATAGGTAGATACAAGAAAGGATAGAGGAAGAGCTGTAGGAGAGCTGAGAGACACCTCTGTATTTGGAATAATGGGATCATCCTTAAAGTGGTGACTGCTATTACCTGGGGAGATCGCTACGGACTGGGAGGTTGTTAATGCCAAAGAATTGAGTTCTTCTAAGTCACAAAGAAAACTGTCTGGAAATGGTGAAGGTAAGATGTATACGCTTGAAGGTGAAAACTCAACAGTTCTTGGAAACCAGTCACTAGTGGCAGCTTGGAGAATCTTTTGATCGATGTGTGACCAAGAGGAGGAAAGGTGCCTGGGAAGTGGGGACAGTGCTTGGGAAGGCAACTTCAAAAATAAGAAAAACATGGGAACTTAAATAAATAAGCATGACAGTGAACTAGGATATGAGTAGACTGGAAAAGAAAAATATCTGTGCCATCATCTGGATTATAGGATATTATTTCAGTGAGCACGGCTGCCTGAAATCATTACTACATGAATCAGAACAGCAGGAAAGACATTTGAAAACTGAAACTGTATCAGGTTCTGGCTTGGGGCTTAAATGTCAGACATTAAGACACATCTGAATCATTACATTCATGAAGGCGACCTGCATTTGATCTGCTGAAGTTATGTTACTTATGGTGCTCTGTTAGGTGAGCCTGTCACAGGTTACTAAATCATACAATTAATATTAATGTAATTTTCTCCAAACCATTACTGTTATTTTGAGACTAGCATTTTCAGAAGTACACTTCAGGTATCATTAAATATTTCTTTTAAACCATAACAACTGAGGTGATTTCTAATTATCCTAATGTTTACACTTCTACTTTTTCTTAGTACTCTGAGCAAATGTTTAAGAAACATCTTGAATACATTGCATACTTTTATTAAGGCATGAGCGCTACAGAATGCATTTCTTTTTCTTTCTTTTTTTTTTTTTTCAGGAGTAATCCTATTATTTCAAAATGACATCAACATTTGAGAAAGGTACATTCAATTAGAATTGAATGTAGGCAGTCAACAATGCTTTTAAAATAGTGACAGCACAGTACACAGCAGTATATTTTGAGTACCGTTACATAATATTGATTGAAGTATCCTTCTGGTAAAAGAAACGTCCTTTGGTAAGAATGAGAGACTGGTGAGTCATACGTACACAGCATCAGAAGATATCCATTGCTTCAGTAAATACTGAAAATGCATTTTTGTTACTATCAATCCTCAAAATTAAAATTGAATGAAAAATATTCTGATCTCATTGTTAGAATTATACAGAATAATTAGATGCACATCTCGAAGTTATCCAGACTAATTTAGACTTTAAGTATTGCTCTAGAATAGGAAAATACTTTCAAAAGGACAAATTAATGTCACAGAATAGGAAGGTTAATTTACTTACCTTCTGCTTGAGTTTTCTTGAGGCAGATAGCTTTATTTATTTTATTTTGTTACAGAGTCTTCTGTACCAAAGTAAGCAGTATAGACTGATACAATGCAGTCTGCTAAACAGAGGTATGCTGTTAAAAGCAATGTTCAATCTTTTTCCCTCTTGAATGAGGGGCTCTAGCCTGTGGTTTTCAGGTCAATAATGCTGCTGAGGAGACATTGCCATTTTTAGTTTCCCATGGCTAAAGACTCTGCTAGAGCTAGAGACATAGATGGCCTTGCACAAGTTACAAAGTGTGCTCCTGGCTTGTATTGCTTACTTATTTCGATTGCTATTAGGCCAGAGAAGTTTAATGCAATGCTCTAGCAACAGGGAGTGATATGTGCTAAAAAACTACAAAGGAATAGGAAAAGTGGTATCAGTAATTGTGGAAAACTCCAGAACACCTTTGGGACTGCTAAAGTCCTTCTGGATAGTCAGGTGCAAGATGTCTTCTGAGATGGTATTGCCACTTCTGAATACAGTTGAATTCAGAAACAAGATCTCTTTTTAAGAGGTCAGTGCCTGGTTTTTTTTCCCTCCTTAGGCTAGAACCAGATGATTACAAGTTTCCCATGTAGGCTTCTTCCACTTTCCTCCCCTACAGAACTGATTTAGTAATAACTAACAATAATAGTGGCAGGCCAGTTTTGTAATCTGAATGTAAACGCTTTGAAACATCTCCTACACTGAGCACTGGTTATAGGGATTACACAAACACCAGCTGTAGCTGCAGAATGCCTTAGAGACAAGCCTGCTCCATAGAAAACTGGGTGAGAGGCATCTCCAAAAACCGAGGCAGCTCTGTAACATGGAGCACCTAAGCTGCCTCATACTCTTGACCTTCCTTCAGGAACCTCTGGATTCCTATAATCGTAAGGGGCCCTAGCTTATGAAATCTCAGCCTGCAGCTATAGAATTTGATGCTACTTCAGTTCTACAGTTTTGTCAGAATGGAACAGAGAGAAGCTAGCTCCCTGCTGTGACACATTCTGGAAAATCAGACAAGACCTGTTGTAGCAGCTATCTAAACCCAGCCAATACTGTTTAGTTGTAAGCAGTATTTTCAGAGGCCACTGTTGTCTATAAATGACATGTTTTGGTAGCTGTCCCCAAAGCTGCAAATAAACATGGAGCTTATCTCAAAGCTGAAGCATGTCCATGAGCACTAGTATGTCAGTATATGAAAGCAAAAAAGGGGACAAATCTAATGAAACTGAGATTAATAGCAGGATAAGAAGTTTACAATTAAACACAAAACCTACCACCCATGCTGAAGAGAGAAACAACAAAGGTAAAGAGGAAAATTTAGAAAAGTTTCTATCTCGAGCACACAAAATCATTGATAATACATTCATGCTGATCACAGTTTGTATTAAGAAACTCTCTTAGTTTCTGTTGCTACAAAAGAGCTTATGTCCCCCACAGAGATGACTGTGAAATCTCATGAATGAATGATAAATTGGAATACAGGAATCTTTTTGCAGCATCCTGTGGTGTGATTTGTGGTGGTTATACACTAGGAAGAAAAAGAATTCAGAACCTACAACAGACATTTGGTGTGAAAAATTAAAACTATAAAGGTCTGAAATTAAGTTCATTGACAATGTGATGACATTTGCCTCACTACTAAATGAAACAATTCTGTCACTGTTGTCGTACCACTCCAAAGAACCTCTGTTGTACCAACAGCCTCCTTCTTGGGTGTGAATGGCAAAACATTATAGTGCAGAATCGTTAGTAGTTCTCTTTTACTTTGAAAGGAACTGAACTGGCCTTGGCAATCTGAGTCTCCACACAAACTGCCCTCTCTTTCATGGGACTGCAGGCTTTTAGGACAGCTGTGTCATAGGAATGGCTTCACCCTGCGCTATGAAAGGTCTGCCAGACATATCCTTAATGCTCACATTCTGTCTAAGATTCCCAAAATAAGTTTTGTTCTGTTGGCTTGATTTTTTTTTTGCCCAAATTTTGCCTGACCCTACTCTCAATAATGTAATAGCTAATGAAGAAAAGAGCAAAAATCCTGGCAGAATGTCAGACACACACTTGACTATTAAAATATTTTAATAAGAAGTTAGTAACACAAGTCTATCTATGCAGGAAAGAAAATGTGGTGTACTCAATGAATAAACCATGCATTGTATTAAAAAAACCTTACAAATCCTTCTAAACCCACTGTAGGAGTGAGAGCAAATTAAAAAAAATGTCCTTACCTTAGTTGAACCTAAATGATGTATGCTGTCACTAGAATAGCTTTGGGGTATTGGAGGATCAGGGTAGTCATCAAGGCTTTTTGATGCATTCTTTTTCATGACTTCTACATAGGAAACAGGGAAGATGCCTTGTCTGTTGGTTCCTGGTACTTTACCTTCATACCAGTTTTGATCAACTCGCTTTAGAAGAATTACTCTGTCTCCCTGAAATGCATTATGAAAATGAGTTATCAGCAGATACATTAACTTAATTTTTTGAATAGCAGAAACTACTTTAACATATAGTATTATTTTCCCTGCAGTGCTGTGAAAGACTACAAGCCAATAAGCTATTATGTTAGTAGTTTTTCCTACCATTACGTTGCTTTGTGCATAGCAAATATTGAATGCAGAGTGCACCAAAGCACAGCATTTACCTATATATTAATTCTATGTAGCAGAAGACACTATAATGATATTGGTAAGTAGTTCTAAAATGTACCTTTCTAAGTGATAACTCCACATTTGTGTCTGCATTGAAATTGTATTTGGCAACAGCTTCTCCAATCTCTCCGATCTGTGCAGGGGGAGGTGGCCTGGCAGGCTGTGCTTTTTCTGGGGGAGAAAGTTTCTAACGAAAAAGGAAAACCACAGATTTTCATCACTCTCATGCAGTTTGTGGCCCTATTACCCAAACTAATTCAGTGAATTAAAACAAGGAACAAACCTCAACGTAAGAAATCGGGAATATTCCAACTCTTCCATGGTGCTCACCCTCATACCAGTTTTGATCAATTTTCCTGAGGATATAGACAGTATCTCCTTTCTTAAAAGACAGCTCTCTGTAACAAATTTATTTAGATCAGATGCTTACAGCTTTACATTTAACTCTTCTACCAGCATAGTTTCCGAGAACTTTACAGTTTGGAACTGAAATAGAATGTAACAACTATACATTTGAAGAAAAAGTGTCACAGCTGCGATGCACTTACCAGTTGATTATACCATATAAAATGAAACAATTCACATTTATGAATCCCAGGTACTATCAGTAAGTTATGTAGGCCTGTTTTACACTGTGATTCCAAGAAAGTATTGCCAGTTATTACTGGAGTACTTAGTATATATAGGGTCTGCATGCAAGTATGATGTGTTTTTGATCACCTGTTTAGATGCTGCTTTTATGACAGGCATCTGAGGGGTATCTCATGTTCTTTTTGAAATCAGTAGGGAAAACTATAGAATATATCCCATGTCTCTATGGCCTATTGCTACCTTTTTGCAGCAGGACAGCTTGGCATGCTTCTGCTCTAAGCATTTTTCTTCCAAGAGAGCTGTGTAGAAGCATGAAGAACACAGGATTATGTTCTCACCATTTCTAATACTCAGGGTCTGTGATAAGTTTGATGTTGGATACCAAAAAAGGGAATTATCCAATTAATTAAGAATATTTTCAGATCTTAGCCTGGGAGTTCTTCACTGTATCATTAATTTGTTTGGTGGTTTCTTTGTTGTTTTTTTTTTTTTTTCTTGAAGAACTCATCTGCTGGTTTGATAATTTAAGTTCTGAGTTTTCTACAGCCAATGTAATTCTAGTGTCAGTGAAGATTGTTCTGACGATCCAGGATATTTAAACAACAGCAGGCATGAAATACAGACACTCTACTTTGACTCTCTCATATCCTAAACTAGTTTTTCCCAATTTTGTTTTTCTTATGGACTGCTGTGATCTGTCTTGGTATTGGACATGTTACATCCTGAAGAGAGCCTGAGTATGTTAAGACAGACAGGAAGATGCTGAAGTATTACACAGAATTTTGATAAGCACATTATCTGTGACAATATTTTTAGCACTGTACCTTGTATATCCTAAGTACAATTCAAAACAAACAACGAGTCTTCAGTGGGTAACCCTCAGGACCCATGCTGAAGATGCACAGCCATTCATGCGTTCAAACAAAAACAGTGGAGAATATAATAATGTAAGACATTTTTATTACACAGTTTGCTAATGCACAGGCAACTGTGACAGCAAGCAGGGTCCTCTTCTTCCATGGCATTTGCTGCTGAAACTGGCTAGAACAGCAGTTAGCTGCCGTAAGTGCTAGAAAGATGTTTCTTGAATTAAGAATTCTTAAATGAACAGAAGTCTTGTACTTACTTAGAAGTCTGAGCTTTAAAGTCATATACAGCTCTAGCTGGCAGTTTCTGAAAAGTAGGCAAAGTGATTAATACATTCAGGTAGTATTACTGTATAATAAACATATTTCAGGTTTTAAAACCAAGACCCAAAAAGGAAAGAACATGTGCCTTACACTGGTTCTTACAGTAATAGGCAATAAAACATACAGCTTCCTTCTTTAAGGCAGTTACATGTTTGGGACTTAGCTGCTATTTTAATTTTTAAAATATTAGATTTGAACTTAAGACAACTAAAAAAGTAAAGAATAAAGTTAACTAAATACAGATGTGACATAGGAAACTAGATCTTTACGTACAATGGAAATTCACATCCTTAATATTCTCTAATACTTTAGATGCCTCTTCTGTTAAATTTATTATCTTTAGGCTAATTTCAACTGTAAATACTGGGTTTTTTTAATATGTATATATAAAAGAAAAAATATTCTGACAGCTGGAAAGAGTTGGGAATATTTTAAAATTCTACAATCACATTCATAGTTTTAAGAAAGTCTGAGAAACACAGGACTGGAGGTCTTCTCAAGATATCCGTGCAGATCACTTGCTATCACAGGCAATCACATCATATAATTCCTTTCATATGTTTATCAAGTTCTATCACCAAGTATCTGTAAGCTCAATATTGTTTCAAAAATAAGACTGTAAAAGAAGCCTACGTGTCCTCACCTGTGTGGTTGACACACTTTACTGTTTTCAAAGCTGTGCTGAAAACATGAACTGTGATATGACTCAAGAGCCTCACTCACCTAGTGTCTGCCTCTGATGGGTAACCAGCACTAGATACTTCAGAGGAAGGTGCAAGAAGTGATGACCACTATTATGTGAAGATATCTGACAAAGTGATTTAGTCTTTCTTTGCAAGTACTTGCACAGATAAGTTTGTTGTATTTTTAAACTCTCACATGCTAGTGGCTAGAATGAGCTGATCATGCTACTCCTGAGAAATACTATTTGTAATGATGTAAGGGTTCACATCTTTTCTATAAGAGGAAGAAAACCAGACAGTTTTGCATAATAGAAGACACAGTTTATCTTACAAAGCTTTGTACTTCAAGAAATTTTAAAGTATCAATCCCCTTAATGAAAAAGAAGGATGCTGTCCCATCTAATGATAAGTAATTGCTCCTTTTGTCTGTATCATTACACTGTCTTAAAACCACCACATGTCTTGTCTAAGATATGTTACCCATTTATATATCCATGGGTGGATATTACTGTATTATTTATTGTTGGTTTACTACCTCTTTGTCTGTATTTCCTCTTCTCTCCCTTGGAGTATATCGTCCCACATCAGTGAAAGCAGAAGAATAGCTTCCAGGAGACTCCTGGTCTACTGAAAACAGAAATTATGTGAAACATAGTAAATTAAACAAAACATTCAAATCTGTGATGCTGATTGGTTTCATTTAGGGGGTGAAGAGATTGAAATGTATTATTTTACATTTAATAGAAAGAAAAGCACGTGATGTGATGGTTGAAGTGCATCCTTAAAGAAAATAAAGATACTGTCAAGCAAAGGCTATCCTCTGATCCACAGCAGAAGAATATGACAGAGGATTGAAAGTGCAAAATAATGTCTCACTGTAGGAAGGGATGCCCCCCACTGGCCCAAATGGAAGACATGACAGCAGCACTGGGACTCCATCAGTCTGCATGAAACTCTTTTGGAATGCCAACACTATAAACACATAATCACATGCACAAAACAGGATTAAAACATGCTTCAATGGGAAAAATAATATTTCCTCCTAAGTGATCTAAGATGTATTTCTACTTTACCAGGCACATGTGTTAAGCAGCGCAAGGGAATTTAAAAGGATGTTATTTCATAAAAACAACTCTGTTGTAAGAGATGGAGCACAAATCATTAGTCACCAATCTATGTGGCAGATTTTCTCTAAAGCAATTTACCAATGTTTATTACATGATGGTGAATGCACCTTTTCATGTTTCGATAAAACCAAAATCATACGCTCTATAGCTCTGCAAGTTGCTAGTGTGAAATGAAAATATGGTGGAATTATTTCAGACCAGAGGAAGAAATGAACTGCCTCCTGACTTCTGAGTTTTACTATTTCAGCCTCCTACTGCCCCAGTGTTACCTGCTAGTGGAGACCTACGCCTGATGTTTGTCCTTGACTTCATTCACATAATCTGTTCTTACCAAGCTCATACATTTCTAAAGAGGTATAAGTGGAACAAAAAAAAGAAAAAAGAGGATTGAGAGCATCTCATCCGTTATATTGGGTTATTACAGAAGAAAGATGTAAATGGTCTCCACTGGTGAAGCCACAAAAACTTGAGGAGGCAAAAAATGAGGTAATTGTAGTATTTATGTCAATCGTTGCAAGCATGTCATCACCAAGCACATCACAGTCCCAGCTCTGGCCAGCTTTCTTGAGTCCCAGCTCTGGCCAGCTTTCTTGATATGGCATGTGTCTGAGAATAAGGATCTATACTCACTGCATAAAGCTAAAGATATAATGCCTCCAAACACATCTGTTTGTTTCTTTTGTTTTGCTGTGTTTTTTTTTCTTCGAACTCTAGCAGAAAGAGAAGGACATGGGAGGGAAGGAATGAAAATGCTTTAGGAAGAGCAGTTTCCTTTACTTTTATACAGCTCCTTACACAGTCAACATGGGTAGCTTTCAGTGGGTTTTGCTATGACCTGGGAGTCTCTAGGTGGATGGTGGGTGTAAGAGACACACACAGATTCAACAAAAATGAAACTTCAGCAGCAGTAGAACTCAGCCATGACTAGTGCTGATGGAAGTCAGTGGAATATTCATTCTGCTGTACTCATTCTCCATGCTACTTAAGAATGTTAATGCTGGCAGTGTACCACTTCCCTTATGTCAGGCTCCTTCATAGCTGCAGAAGCTATTAGGGATCCACATTTACTCTGCACTGTGGATTTCCTTATTTTCAAGGACTAGAAAATTCTCACTTAGCAACTGTGACATTAGACTAGCTCAATCTCTAAACAACTTCAGTACTGCCTGCCAGGGCTAATCATGGTCAGGCCTCAAGTATGACTAATTCTATTCTGAACTGCGTTTTATAGCTTTTTTAAAAAATCAAATTAACTGTTCTCAATATGTCTGCTTTACCTAGTTAAGAAGAGACGGTAACAGCTTCAATCTGATTTCTCTTGAAATGCATACTTACTAGTGTGGTGCTTGCAAAAGTTACAGAAAAAGATGTGAGATTAAAAGGAATAAGATGGGTCTTATCAAATATTTCATAATTGATATAGTAAAGACATTCTCTTACATCCATTTGTGATTTCAAGCATAGCTTTGTAATGTCATTAAATTCTCAAAGCTGTTCAGTCACAGAGGACTGTATCTCGAGAGGCAAAATACTTTAACAGAAATGTTAGCATTTAAAATGAGAAAGACTTGCCAAAGACAGTCTAAATCATCTGGGATACATCTTTGTGCACTCCTGCTGTGAATCTAGTTTGCTTCTTTTAATATTGCAAACTTCATGAAGATTTTAAGCTCAAGCAATTTGAGAAAAAGAGAAGCAGAGCCACAAACAACTCAAAGTGGTAACTTGCAAACTAGATCATGGTCAACACAGACCTTTTTAGAAGTTAGTCTCACACTGGTAATTTCAGTCAAATTTTGATTACTGAGAGTTTCCCTTCTAAGAGGATAGGAAATTTCTCAAAACTTCATAGATACATAAAAATTCTATGAGAAGAACTGATTTTGCTGCCACAGAAATTGGAAATTGTATTGTTTGAACAGTGGAAATGGAAACTTCCTAAAATGACCTTAAGGTCTATTCACAAAAAGTAATATGAAGCAATGGATTTAGTGTATTTTCATAAGAAAAGAGAATTAACTTTCTATGATACTGGCAGAATTAACAGCATTTTTATCACCCACATGTAACAAAACTATACAGTACAACATGTTTTAGATACAGGTTTGGGTTTTGTTTTTTGTTTTATATAATAAAGGAAGGGCTATCTGCATATTTGTTTCCTGTTTGAGCAGCATCTTATGATGCATGCACTCACTTTCTGTAAGGTCTTTTTCTTGGGAGAAAAGCCCCCACATTGCTTAATTTGTAACATATAGCACTAATAGTGATAATAATATTAGTTGAAATCCATCTTTACTCCAAATGTCCAAATTACTGTATTTTGTGAATAGACAGCAAATTTATCTATGCTCATCACCTATGTAAAAATGACTTAATGAAGAATTTTATGGGATGAAAGCTTCTTACAGATGACACAAATAAAAATGTAATGAGAAAGGGTAGGAAATACAGGGAGTAAGCTTGAACACATAAATCACAAGGATAGAGGAAGAAAGTTAATCCACCTTGGAAACACAGTGCACTATCATTGTTGTTAGTTGCGTCCATGTCTGGAAAAGAGGCACTAAGAGGTAATCTTCCACAATCATTCTGGTACAGTGGGCAATGGATAGCACCATCTTGAGGCAGTGGATGAAAAGGCTGGTGCATGGGGCTCTTTTTCAGAGCTTTAAGAGATGAATTCCGTTCTGGAATGTCTGGAAGCAGCTCAGTAATAAGTCTGTGTAATATGCTGTTGTCAGGCAAGCTTCCCCTTCTTTTTTCAGCCTTAATTTGGTCACAGATGTCTTTAAGTGCAGAATCTAGTGCTTCAAATACAGATGACTTAGATTTTTTCTTTTCAGTGTGTTTTTTAGGAGCTGCACTTTTTTTCCTCCGGAAAGGCACTGGACTGACTAGGAATGCTATCTTAGAGAGGCCAGATTCTGTTTCCTGTCTCCTTGGATCTTCAGTGGTTTCTTGTTTAGCCCTTTCATGTTTTAGCATGGTGGTGAAGCGGGTATAGGACGCTGGACATCGCCCTTTGCAGGAGCTGATGAGGTGCCTGTGGTGGTGGTGGTGATGGTGGTGATGGCCTGACCCATAAAAGCTTTCAGATGATGTGAAGGAAAAGTGGTCAAAATCACTTTCACTACAAAAGGATGAACCCTCTATCTGGATAAAGTCACTGAGGTCAGAAACCACTCCATCTTGATCACTGTCTGAAAAATCCATATGTGATCGTTGTGGCTCATCACTGGTCACTTCAATATGAATTGGCACCAGGGTCTTAGACTTGTAGCTCCGTTGTACCTGAGAGGGATGTCTGCCTTGATTTTCTTCTTCCAGCAAGGATTCAATAGAAAACCGCCTCTTTGGACATAAGCCATTTTTAGGAGGCTCTAGTGTAACAGTTGACAACATTTCATCACCTAGGTTTGGCATTGATTTTGACTTCTGAATTAATTTTTCAAATTCAGATATTCTGGTTGGCACCATGTCTCTGGGCACCTCTTCAGTAGAAGACTCCCTCCAGCCTTGAAGGATACCTTTGTGCTGTTCTTTTTCATACTGCAGTACTCTGGACTTCACAGAACAAATCACCTCAGAATTCATCAAGTCCTTGCGATTGATGCGGTGCATCTTTTTGTACATTTTTAGGAAGCCTGGGGCATCGTGTGCGGATCTGTGGCGAACCCTTGACCTACTACCACCGCGGCCCTCACCATATGGGGAGGCCCAGTTCATTGAGCAAACTTCTTTGGAGGAGTCCTCACATAACAGGGAGCCCATGCTTTCAGACTTGGCCTGCGCATCGGGAAAACTATCGTGATCATCTGTTAACAGATCATCATAGCTACGAGATTTTCTCTTTGGAGAAGTAGTTTCTTCTGTGCTGCTCCAGACTTCTGCATTTTGACGAGTCATTTGCCAGCCATTCTTGTAGCTGACTGCCCTTCTTGAATCATTTGGAACAGCTAAATGTTGTCTGTAAGTGCTACAGTAATCTAATTCATTTGAGGTGTTGTGGTTGTGCACTGAGTAACTTGAAAGGGATGGATACACTTTGCTAATATCCCCACCTTTATAATCCATAGAGCAGCATGGTAAAAAAGAGACATTGCCAGAAATTAAAAGATTCAGAAAGTTGGAATCAACATCAGTAAGTATTAGAAAGATTAGAGAAGAGACAGCAATTAATGCATCTATCAACTTAGGTCAGTACACAGGTTGCTACATCCTGGGGCAGCAGAGCTAATAATTAATTTTCCACCTGTAGAAATGTACTTGTGCTAATTTGAACATCTACCCCAGCTCAAACCACCACAATTATGGAGGTGTTACGCTCTCAGCAACCCCCCTGCCAAAGCAACTTAAGAAAACAAGCATCAATACTGATTTTGAAGCAGGTCAACAGACAATAAAAGCTGCAAAGGATTTAAAGATGAAGCCAAACAACAAATCTAGACCTCAAGTCAAATACTGACTTTTCTATCTGTGCATTCTGAAAGAAATTGCTCTGAAATTTTGAGCTGAAAAATGCTCAGAGAGTTCACAGCACCTGTGTATTCTAAGATAATTCAGATAAATCTTTATACACTATCAAATGGGAAAGTTCTCCCAGTTGTTCACAGGTAGCATAGGCAGCCCCCTCTTTCCATGAAGGGAGTGGTATTTTCTACAGCTTATGGACAGCAGAACAAAGTGGCTGAGGAACTGCTATATAGGTATAAAGGAAGATGTATCAGTTTACTGAGCCTAACCAACATGTAGAAGAAACAATAACCCTTAGACTGACTTCCAAAACAAAGCCTGAACTTTCCAGCAAGTTTTAAGGCATTTGTATGTGCATGCTAGATCTAGAAGCCACTGTGACACAAATTTAGAACTGTGATCTCTCCTACTTGCACTGAACTTTCAAAAATGGTCTCAAGTGGCAACATTCAGTTCAGCGCACATGCTTCAAAACAGCTCAATCTGCTGTCTAGAACAACCTGAATCTGGATCAGAAACTGAAATGGAGTTCAAAATCCATGCTGATCAAGCACCTTATAATTCACTGCTGCTTTAACAAATAAGAAATAATTAAAATTAGTATTCTAACAGGTTCATAATGCTGGGGGAGAATAGAGGGACACAGGTGAGGTCACCTTCTGAAAGTTAATTAGCTGTGGTAGATGTTCTCAAGGGAAGGGTTTTCAAACACAGGGAGGGCTTAAGGCACGGCAAGCGCTCATTACTGGTGATGTAGTCAAAGATAAATGCAGGTAAATGGAGTTCACCAACTTTTCACTGCTTGGCCTAGTACATCAAATGGATGAGTTTTTAAAGTACTGCTACACCACTGGGTTTAAAATACATTTGCTTTTCCATCACTTCCTTTTTAATGTTCCTCATTGTTTTTCTTTGATGCATTCTGTTGCAGCCTGGATATTATGTTTTTTTCAGTGGGAATCTACTTTTACGGAAGTCTAAACAGTCCCTAATACAGCTATAGGCTGAATAATAACTTTAACAGAAGGAGACTTATTGTATAGAATATTACTCTGTATATATATATTTTATTGTATATGTCACTGGAAACCTATGCCTTGCTAAAAAAAACCACACTCCAAACCCCAAACCCAAACTAACAACTGATTCAACTGTCTTTTCTGGAGAGACATGCAATAGAGTGAGAGCACTGGAGAAAAGTAATAGAGGGGTGAGTTACTTGGAAAAGAAGCTAAATAGGTTGTATTTGCTGTACCAAATACTTCAAGGATTTACAAAATCAAAAATGGATGTTTGCTTGATTAATTTAGATCCTGATAACTGACAGTGTCTATAACATCAGCTACAGATGTTGTAAAGGTCTACTATCCTGGAAGCACATCCTAGATCTTATATGCTATTTGTCTTGATTTACTTTCTGTATATAGTGAAAACAGTTTTAAAATCACATCAGTCTAATAAGAAAGTAGTGGAGTCAATAAAACTTTATGGGTTTATAGATTGTGGTATAAATATTAGTCTTCATTTAGTCAATTTTCTTTTGTTAGAATAAGCAGTTGAAACTGGAATATCCTCGCTACAAATCCAGCTTTTCAGCTTAAAATTACACATGTAAGACTAAACAAGTTAGCCTTTCCTGAAAGGTCCAAAGCTGTTGCTTCATCTAGTAAATCTCCCAGTGAAGTGCACTGAGCAACAGCAGACAGTTGCATTTATTACCAATGTATTGTACAACACATCATTGGTAGCTTTCCGCTAACAAATATGATTCTCTTACCTTTTGCTCGTGATGGAGAAGAAGGAGACGAGCTAGTTAAAGGCTTTCGAAGGGTGGTATATGGGCCTTGCATATCTGTACGGCCTGGGCTAGGCCTGTTTGCATTCTGATCGCTGTGCACCCTCTGATGGCTTACAGCAGGTTCTGACTTCCTTCGTTTTCTATAGTCACTTGCAGTACTTGCAGAACTACAGAAATAAGCAGTATTAGCAGCAGTCTAATTCTGAGGTCAGAATTCAGGGATTTAAAAAGTAAACTTATATTATTGGTTTATAGATTAAACAATACCAGGATAAATACATCAAAAACATGTAAAGGGGAGAAGCACTGGTCTTGGGCCTCTTACAGTGTATTTCGCAGAGAAAAGCTTCTTCATCTAATAGTTTTACAGTTTTACACAAAATTGCTGTTCTTTTTTAATAGTGAAAACTTTGAAATAAATGCATCAAGGTTTTTTTCACTTTTGATACTATAAATTCAGTGCAAAGATAAGAAAAAGACAGAGAATGAGAACAGATGAGGTAGCACGCTTAGGGAAACAGCACTGAAAGTGCTGCAGGCAGCAAGGTTAAATGACAGATCACTGTGGCTGAGACAGAATCTCAGGGTTGTTTGTGGAAAGACCCAGAATATGCATAGCGTATTTTGAATAAAAAGAGTAAGTCCTTGTAAAACGAAAGTAAAATTTACACTTCAGTATCAAAATACTAACACGCTCCCCATGCATCTCATTTTGTCAGCTCACAAGATGAATGTTAAAATGTGGTTTTCTGGAACATCTGATGATTTCAGGTCACAGAAGAAACCCTCAGGCTGTATAATCTGTATCTACTGAAATCATATATTGTATTTCTCACCTAGAGGGCCTGTCCATGCCTCTGTCTGTTGAATAGTGATGATATAAGGAAGTCTGTGAAAACAAATACATAAATCTGTTATATATCTGTATTTGAAAAAAGGGTGATGATTTCTGCTTATCATGTTTGATTATACTTTGTTAATCTGTGACAAATCCTATAAAAATAGGCTATGGGTTACATCCCGGGCACTCCAGCATAGCTACTGCAATGTTTCATGAGAATAGTTATGCAGTTTTTAAAAAGCATCATTATATTTAATTTCCTATTCTACTTCAGTAATGTTTTTTCCTTTAAAGCATTGCTGAGTAACGAACCAAAGTCATACTTCTCTATAACCTTTTCAAAATAGATACAGAGCAGCCAAAATGAACTTTTACTTTAAAACCACAAAAATCTGAAAATAATTCCCTCATGCAGAAGTGAGGTCTGCAGAGCTTCTCCTCCCTTGCAGTTACTCACCAAAATTCCACAATCATATATAAATTATAGCCAGACATGTTTACAAGTCCCACGATGTTTGTGGCCAGTTGCTGAGCACCTTATATTTTCTAGTAAGAACAGGGGGTTTTTACCATGGTATTTGTTTTTAAAATATATTCTGAAGAAGGTATTTATTCCTGAGTCTTTCCTGGTTGTACAGTTTGTATTTTCAAGCTTTTCTTTACATCCTCTGAAAGCTGAAAATGACTTTATGACAATTCTTCCACCACTATCCAACTTTGATGATTTTAAAATAAATACCTAGTATTACGAGGTCTGCCTGCAATAAAACCATAGAAGCCAGCAGCAGGGTTGCTTACACCAACAGCTAGTGTAACCAGTTTTCACATTTCTACACACCAGAGTGAAGCAAAGGCCTCAGGTCTGTGTGCTTCACTGCACTACCCACAAAACACACATTGAGCCTGTTCTGGAAAGCCCCAGAGTCTTACTTCAAATCTGACCACAGCTATCAATCAGCCTCATCTTTGTTGACCAGTCACTGCCACAGTGCAGTACCAGCAGAGGAAGGAAACTTGGGCTCACAGGTGATCTCTGTTAAAACCGTTGCACGAGGCAACACGAGCAGTTTGTAGATTAATTGTCATTGTGGGGTTTCCTGTGCAGGTGCCAACCCCCTCCATTAGAGACTGGACCAAGACCATCTGTCACATGATGCTGGCCAAAGAGCCATGAGACACTGATTACTTTCCACCATGTGTAATGGCTCCAGGACCGTACAGACCATGATGTAAATCCCAAGGGTGGTGATAGATCCCTATTGCCTCCTATGGAAGGCAATGGCTAAGTCACACAACTGAAACCAAACCAGAGAGGACTTCTTTATCCACAGCATTCCCCAGGTCATAAAGAGTGTGTCAGTGATCAGCCTAAGACAGCAAAAAGTGTGTGTCATGCAAAAATTGACGTCTGGGTTACTATATGGCTTTTGCTTTCTGTCCTTTATCACTTTGCATGTCCTTTTGTCCTTTCTTTGATACCTTCTTTGAAGGTTTTTCTATATGAAAGATACTGCAGGTTGCACATTCTACAATACTAACTTTTATGACAAGCATATGATAATATATATAAGCTGTGTGGAGTTTATACCTTCTAAGAGCTGCAGAGCTGTACTGATAGGGCATGTAGGGGAAAAGTGAAAGCAAACAGTGGATACGGTTGCTTTTTACTGCCAAGAGTGGGTACCACTGCTTGTAGCCATCCTAACAGCTCTGGGGCATTTACTGACCCATGATCCCTCCAAGCCACATCCAGGTGGCCCAGTAGAACACATCTCCCCCTCCCCCACCTCCAAAGCCAATTAGGCATCTTCCAGAATGTTCAACAGTGCCCTTTTATGGATAAAGGCTGCCTGACAAAAAAAATTAAATATTGAAGACAACCACTCCAAACTACCCAATACAGCCAAATACTTTGATGCAGTTTTACTCAAAACCCAGATAGATGTTTACAATTAAACCAGTATTTTAGCTGTTTTCATGCATCAAGCTTCCATGGTGATGGAAAATTAAGTTAGGAAAAGTAGGCAAGAGTTGTAAACAGGCTTGTTTGCATGATGGTTCTAATACTTCACAAGTTTGTGAACACAATTTATAAAATTCAAAGATAAAAAAAGTTTCAAAATAAAATACAAACCTCTCTGTAAAAAGATAAAACCAGTATTACATAATAGTAGTTTTACTCAGACCTACTGAACATGATACTATTTCAAATAATCATGCTAGCTTTAAACCAAACTGGAGTGGATAATTTGCAAACAATTAATAATTTAAGGCCAGAATTTGCATTTAATTTTTGGAGAGACTACCAAAGATGAGAGTGAATCACAAATATGAACGAAGTAAAGCCGCTATATGAAGTAAAGCTGTCATTACTGGATTCACTGACTTTTGCCCTAACACTCTAAAAATGGGGATGGAGGGGAGAAGGAATGAAAGCCTGAACCTCTCCCACTCAGAGTAGGGCAATGACAGCCCTCTACCTCATCTTGATGTATTTTCTTTGGAGTAATGACAGTGACTGTCAATCCTACAGTTATAAATTTACAATCAGCAACCTTAGTCATAAATACTGAATTGGAGAAATGACAGTTTAGCCACAAATGCTTTCACTTGATATACAGAATTTGTAGTCAAATATTTCAGTTAAAGAAATACTACTGTGCTGATGAATTAACTGTGGAATGCACTTGCCCAACTCTGAAGAAGTGGGAAATTTGTCAAAGAGTTAGAGATGTATGGGCTGTTGTGTAATTCTGAGTGTTAATCTCTGAGATGTTTTGGGATAAGGACTCACAGTTCCTAGGATAATAAGATCAACATCCAAATGCACTAGTGATCTGGAAAGATACGAAGACAAAGATACAATGATTGTGAATTAGAAACATCCCACAGCTATCAGAAGGAAACCACTAAACTTTAACACACTTAAGCCATAAACGGTGAGCATTCCAACCCTTCTTCCCAAGAGAATCATCTGAACAAGAATCATTCATTTACCTCATTGGAAACACCAGAAGAACTGTCTTGAACATAGTCCAAAAGCTTTTTAGGTGGCTGCATCATAAAAGCAGAAGTGTAGAGATGAAATGGAGTAGAACCAATGGCAGCAAGGAATGAAACATGTGGAGAAGGTGACACAGTTAGAAACTAAGTGTTGACAGCGTCAGATACAAAGAGTGACACGGGTAGAATGGAAGGAAGAATGTGTTACAATATTTTTTAAATTATAAGCATCTTAATAAAATGTTAGTAACTTTAGGTAGTAAAATTTACAACTGGAATGGCTGAATCAATACTGGCAGTTTTTAATACTGATGAGACAGAAGAGTGTAAAGCATAGTTACATTCTGCTGGGGAAATCTCACTATATTTTATCTTACAGGAGAAACTATTCTCAGGTTATGATAATCAGTAAAATGTTGTTGACATATTGTTCATCAGAAGGATATCTGGACTTTTTCTGCCCACCTAGAGGGAGGAATGACAAAACAGCTTGAAAGGCTAGATAGGAGATAAAAGGTCATCAGTGAAAATGTGATACGTTATAGACTATTGGACAACAGATTAAACCCAGATATATTTTTTTCCTGTTATTTGCAGGTGGTATTTAAAAGATAATTTTTCTAAATGTTACGATTAAAAAATTAAAGTTTTTAAAGAATGTATGTGATTTGCTTTCTCTTCTGCTCTCACTGAAGTAGCTGGGAGTTCTGACTTTGGTTATGGCTAGCTAAAAAAGGGAACTAAAGTACCTGGTTCCCAGAGTGACCTCCAGGGCCCTGCATCACGTGCTTAGGCTCCTCCTGTGGCCTGGCATGTCAGTGATTGGCATGCTGAGGTGGGCTCCAAAGAATTGCTAGCTAACAGATGAGAATGGGAATGCTTAAATCCTGATAGTCTCAAGCTCAAATGGCATGTCTATTTGGGATTTCCTGCCTGTGTGCAGCTGCTTTTGTTTGTTTTGTCAAGCTCCCCAGAATCCTGGGGAGCTATGAAAATACTTAACCAGACTGAAGGGATGCTTGGGTTTACTTACATCTTTTTGAGGGGATTTGAACTCCTGTCTTCTCCCTGTCTGGAAAGTACTCTAGCCGTTCTGTTAGACATTCTTCTGGGATGAAGACATTTGCTACCCCTTTTCCTAAAGATGTTAGAGTGTACAGGAAGGAATTTGAGCTCAAGGAGCCAGAGAGGGTGTGTGCAAAAGCAGAGCAGGTGCATCTCCAACCTAGTTGTTAAGGCACTGTGCAGGGGGGAAGTGAAACCTAGTTCTCAGCTTGCTTCAAGGACAATGTTACTGTTTTATCCCTGTGTAAAACACACAAAGAACTTACGTCCACTTAAGCCTGTGGTATTTGCAGAAGAACTGCGAGTGCCTAGACAACTAAAGGTGAAAACCTGAGGTATCTCTGATGATTCAACCAAATGGAGCTTTTCAGCTTTGTAACTTCAAACATTAAATGCTTGCACTAGGAATAAGCTAGCATCTGTTTGCCCGAGTCCTTTTTTTGGACCTGGCCATTTGTGAAAATTGAAACAGAACTGAAGTCTGTTCAAGCAGGTGTTCAGCTTGAAAACAGCAAACCTGTATCTCTGTGTTCATGTACAAAATAAGTTTTCTGCATGTGTGCACATAGGAGAGGATAAAAAGGGAAAAACCACTTGTATCAGTATTTACTGCCATAAGCAATCTGTATATGGCTGTGTGCATTTAAATTTAGACATATTCCTTCAAGTAAAATACACGATTTGTAACTTAGCATACCTAATGCAAACTGACATGTTTTTCTGTTTTGAAAGAGTTCAAAATTAATCCAGCCAAATGCAACAGATTTAGGGAGACTAGTAAAGATCCCTGTTCAACACGCTATTTGTCTTGTTCTTTAATATTACACACTACTATTTGTCTAATATGTAGCCTGTAGTAAAGCTATTAAAGCTACTACTCTGGCAAGTTAAGGTTCCTCACTTACCGGACGTCCAAACTCCAGTTCTGAAAAGAATTTATACCAGGGTTCGTTTTCTAAATCTATGTCATCTGGGTTTAT